TGTTATGTATACTAATATAAAAGTGTTAGTAGAAATTAGAATGTTAGACATGAGGGAACTAGTGTTAAGGAGTAGATAGAAACATAGGAACAGTTAACAATTGAGTTCCTGGATTGCCATGAAATACAGAGTAAATGTGAGCTGAAGCTGCAATGTGAGTCTATACGAATCTGTAGTTTAATACGGCCTCCTCAGTTTCCAGATGCTTAAGAGCCGAAGCCTTAGCTGAAGACATTTAAGAGAATGGAGAATTATCTTTGTGGCAGGTGGGCTAGTGACCCAAGCTTATCAGCTTAGATACTAGGACAAGGGAACTAAACAGAAGAGCAGCGTAGATATTTGGACATGGGAAACTAAGCAGGGGAACAGCTTAGATGTAAGGATATGGGAACTAAGTCATGTAACAGGTTTCATCTTAATTGCATCAAGATTTTTTTGGTAGCGAGGAGATTTTACTTTGTTATGAGAGCTGTGTTCAAAGCAAGACGAATAGAATTGATAGATACGAAGCAAAGGAGATGGGTAATATTGGTTGAAGCTGAAGAGGAAGCCCGGCGTTTATGAAAGCACTCTTGCTAATCCTTGAGATGAGGTTTCTAGGACAGGTCAGCTGTAACTGACGCCCACGATAATGGTGAAGGATCAAGAAACGAGATTAAAAAATACTCAGTAATTGACAAAAATCTGTTTTGCTGATTTTTTTTGTTTAATACTGGATTCAGAGCTTTTTAAACTGAAAATACATTTAAGATTAGATATAAGGGAACTGGAAATTGAAGAGTGTGTATGTCTAATTGAAATTTGAAAAAGAGTTCAGAGTAGAGTCATCCTTAGATGAATAGAATGTGTATGATGTGATGAATAATAAGTAACATGTGACATAACAGAACCTGACAGAAAACTAAACTGTAATGTAGAGAGAGGTAGAACTGAATCATCTGCAACAAAGGTAATTCATCAGAAAAAACTACTAATCAGTGAACTAAGAATGGGTAAAATAGTGTAATTATGGAAGGCTGGACATTAAAGATTTCTGATGTACTATATCAAATGCAGAATACCCAATTTGACCATTAAAAGATTTCTTAATGCGTTTTCGGCCGTGTGGTCGTCATCAGAGCAGGACAGAGCAGGCTCTGATGACGGCCAAACGGCCGAAAACGCGTTAAGCATTCTATTAGTGTTAAAGGTGTTTTTTCCGCATACTTGGAAATGTTTTGAAACAGTTTTCATGACTGCTGCTGCATATTATATCGTATATTATACAAAGATCCAGACTCTGAAAGATTCATTATTATCACAAAGTAACGTGGACCAAACTTGAGATATATGAAACAGCATCACCAGCAGACCAGATCATAACAGAAACTGTTGATATCGATTAGAAGCAAAAAGTAAAAATTAGGTTATATAGATTTCGGAACAATGCAGGAGAATGTAAACCTCCTGAGAGAACTGGACGAAGAGGTTCAAGTCAGCTTGGTGTCAAGTACCAAAACTGAGAGAGAACTGAGAAATCCTGAGTGTGATGAATTGTTAGGTGAAAGAGTATGGAATAATGAGATTGTAAAAAACAACTGAGGTTATTCATTCTGATTAATCAATCATTTGATTGACGAGTTGGGGACAATTTCACCCCATTTAATATTTTATTATTATTAAAATAAATGTATTAAAGACTGTTTATCCATCAAATTAAAAATGTATTAAGAAGTTGGATAGGCATTTTAGTTTATGACAAAAGGCTGAAATATTAGGGATCGGTCAGAAAGATTATACTGGAATGGATTGATAATGGATGAATTGATTGATACAGATTGGCGAAGTAAACCTAGTTTGCGGGGTTGTATAATATTATGATTAACGAGTGAATTGGCGAGTCTGGGTTATGACGGACCCACCCCAGTTATATACATCAAAGAGCAAAATAGGTCGGTATGATAATTTATAGTGACAGGAAATTATTTTGCATAAGGATAGTCTTACCTAAGCCGTGATGGAGATTAGTGGAAACAAATAGACTTTAGGAATGTGTGTGTGTCTCTCTCTCTCTCTCTCTCTCTCTCTCTCTCTCTCTCTCTCTCTCTCTCTCTCTCTCTCTCTCTCTCTCTCTCTCTCTCTCGTTCTATCTCTCTCTTTATTCCTCACACTCACATATTTCCTTCTCGAACATATATACAGGAAAAATTCAGTGTCAGCTTCGACCTCACACACGTGGGGTCCACGATTCGAGTCTCCTACAGCCCCAGGTGTATGGAATATATATATACAGAATTTGGTGTGTCACCAACAGGCACCAACTTCTTCCTCGTCTTCCCTTGCATCACTTGACGAAGATAAAGCTCAGTGAGGGAGAGGGATTGGAGGGAAGGGTGATGGAAGGGAGAGAGTGAAACTTGGAGGAAAGGGAGGTGGACAGAGGATAGAGTGTAACAGGCAGCAGCCTAGGAGTGGCCATGAGTGCCTCTGCTGGTGGCAGCTCTCAGTGGCACTGTGGTGGCATCGACCAACGCTCTCTACCTCTGTGTCTGCCAGCTCTCTAACCCGCCTCTTTTTCCCTGCCCTGTCGGATCTCTCTAGCTCTCACGCAAGCAGGCACATGCTCTCTCTCTCTCTCTCTCTCTCTCTCTCTCTCTCTCTCTCTCTCTCTCTCTCTCTCTCTCTCTCTCTCTCTCTCTCTCTCTCTCTCTCTCTCTCTTATTTTAATTTAATAAATAGCATGCTCTCTTCCTCCATGCTCTCCTTCTCTCACCTCTTGCTTCTCCTCTTCTGACTCGCTTTCATCTAACCTCCATTCTTGCTGTGTTGTCCACCTTCTCCTTCCCTTCCTACCTTTCGTCTTTCCCCCACCATCTCTTCCCTCCGTTCCTAATGTTCCATTCTCATCTGCTTTCCTTCTCTTTCTTCTTCTCCTCCTGTGCTCCTCCTCCTTCCCCACTATCCTCCACCATTCATCTCTTCTTAGTCTTTTTTCGAACTTCCTTCCTTATGGGTCTAATTCTGCTCCTTGATTGGTTTTTTGTTCTCGTGCTGTGTTTTTAGTTATAATATATATTAAGTTTATATATTATTTATATATGTTTATAAATATATATATATATATATATATATATATATATATATATATATATATATATATATATATATATATATATATATATATATATATATATATATATATATATGTCGTACCTAGTAGCCAGAACGCACTTCTCAGCCTACTATGCAAGGCGCGATTTGCCTAATAAGCCAAGTTTTCATGAATTAATGTTTTTTTTGACTACCTAACCTAACCTAACCTAACTTTTTCGGCTACCTAACCTAACTTAACTTATAAAGATAGGTTAGGTTAGGTTAGGTAGGGTCGGTTAGGTTTGGTCATATATCTACGTCAATTTTAACTCCAATAAAAAAAAATTTGACCTCATACATAATGAAATGGGTAGCTTTATCATTTCATAAGAAAAAATTTAGAGAAAATATATTAATTCAGAAAAACTTGGCTTATTAGGCAAATCTGGCCTTGCATAGTAGGCTGAGAAGTGCGTTCTGGCTATTAGGTACGACATATATATATATATATATATATATATATATATATATATAAATTCTTCACTACAAGTGCATATATGTATACAAATAATCACTAAGATCTCGATGACCCGACTAGGGTTCGAACCAGCATTGTCAGAGCTTACACACTGACATACAGAATAGTAATGCAACTTCCTTAGCGATTGCCTATATGACGAGTTGTTTATCCTGGAGCTCCTTTCATGACCTCCATGACTAACAAATACCTGGCAACAGTCGGGGTGCAATTTGGGCACTGTTTTTCATCAAATCCTGATGTGTGTGTGTGTGTGTGTGTGTGTGTGTGTGTGTGTGTGTGTGTGTGTGTGTGTGTGTGTGTGTTTGGGCCGCGCTGAGTGTACAAACGTGAAAGAATGCGTGTATGGTCCCAAAGCCATAAATCACTTAGAACTCTATAACCGATCACGGATCTATTTGCAAACTTGTTGTCTACATTTAGGTCAGATGTTGAGTCTTGAGAACATTGAATATTACACTAAGAGCACCAATAGCTCTCTAGTGTTGAAGACTCAGATGTTGGTGACTAGGACGGGTCATGACTGGATATGAGCCTAATCGCAGGGTTTTCTTCCTTGTCCTCAATTCGGATTGGTAGTTGGGTATACAAGATAGAACTCCATACTAAAGAAAACAGACGAATTTGCTCTCTTTTTCCCATAAAAGAACCTTTAATCGAGTAAATTAAGTTTACATATTGGCATCTATGACAAATGGCTTTGAGATGAGACGTGATTCACTTGTGTCTGTTTGGTGGTTTAAGCTGAGTAGTGTGTCTCCTTTTAACGAAAACATTAAGTGTTTTCATAAAGCTATTCTTACTAGCTGTTAGACAAGCTTAATATTAATCTTTCCCTGCCAAACTTCAATGATGCTACCTCTAACTTTTTATCCAGTCTGCAGCGTAACCAGAGAAGGTGGAGAGTTGGAAGGGAGCCTTTCCCTCTGCTATACTGATCATCTGTATCAAGATAGAACTTGGTCTAGAATGTAAATAATCTATCCCCTTTCATAACAGATCTCCCAGAGGTACACCAATGTCATCTGTTAACTGACTTCCTCATGAACTCTCTCCATCTATCGTCCACTGCTTCTCTTTTTATTTAAGGTGCGAAGGAAGAATAGAGATAATCATCTAATGCTTTTTTCCTTTTAACAGGTCCATCCAGTTGTTTTCTACGATTTATAGCTTCTTCCAGGTTGGCGTTCGATCCCCGATTGACCAAGTAGTTGATCACCGTTCCTTCACTCCGTTCTTCAGTTCCCACTCCTCTCCTCTCTTCACACCCCCTCTCATGTTCTGAATATCCGTATACTGCACTGCTGCTTACAATGACTGCAAAACCTATTTCCCACGTAGAGCCACGGTGACCTGTGTGTGTCTCACCAACACTCCCTCGTCCACACAGCTCCGGTAGTGGAGATCATCGACGAGAGAGGGGCGTCGGTCCACGAGAAGTTCTACAAGACCGGCAGCACCATCGAACTCAAGTGTACCATCAGTCAGATGCCTCAGGCCCAGACTTTCATTCTCTGGCGCCACGGTGACCACATGCTCAACTACGACACTTCCAGGGGTGGTATTAGGTGAGCTTAGGGCTGGAAATTAGAGCCAGTTATTTTGAGGTTTCAGACGAGGTTTTGTTACATCAGGATAGCTTAGGGAACCATCAAGCATGCTTAGAGGGGGAATTGAGTGGGGGTTTTTAGGAAGAAATAGATGATTTGAGGTAGTTCCAGACACTATGAGTGGTATTAGGGCTGAATTTAGGTGGAATAAGGTTAACTGTTTGCGGTATATGGCAAAGCGCTGACATATTATTTGTTTTGTTTTTAATATTTGTTTTTGGTTGAGGGTATTTGGTGTTTTTAGGGTGGTATTTAATGGATATATATATATATATATATATATATATATATATATATATATATATATATATATATATATATATATATATATATATATATATATTGATAGTGGATTACGAAGGTATTTAATATATTTAGAGCAGTACATGGCAAGATTATGGTTGTATATGTTAAGTTAAGGAAAGTATTGGAAGAGTTAAGGACTTTATTTGGTGAGTAGATAATGCATATGGTAAGACACGGACAAAATTTGTATTGCTTTGGTCAGTATTTGGAAGTTAAGGACTGTGATTGGTGGGTTAAGGTAAGTATTTGGTGTGGGTAGGTAGGTATTTGGTGTTATAGATATCTGGTAAGTGTTGGATGGGTATTTGATATGAGTACGAAGATATCTTTTGAGTTTGGGCAACATCTTGTCATATTAGGTTAGTTTGCAGAGAAATCCTAATGACGTGATTTAGCAATGAAAATCATTTTGTTACTCCAGTCATTCCACTCCTTCAAAATGATTTTTATTTTAGGTTAATATTAGCAAGCTTTCCATTATTATGGAAGTTGATGGCCATACTAGAAAATTTATTTGCCATTAGACTAGATTTTATCTATAATAGGTTACAGTGTGGCATTGAGCTGGTTGATAAGTCATTAGGTGATACTGTTGTCATTGTCAAGTTGAGAGGATATTAGGCAAGTTAACGCGGATTATGTGATTGTGGGGATTTGTGGAGATAGGATGTGGGAGGGGGTGTGACGGGGAGGGGATGATAGAGAGGGGTGGTGTGAGGGGGGGAAGTGGATGTGAGGGGGAGAGGGGGAGAGGGGATGTGACACGGGGGTACGAGAGAGAGTATTAACAAAGCTTAGAGGGTTGATTATACTGCATAGTGTGCGCTGTGCGAGACATTCTCGTATGTGATTATATTGTGAGTTCTTGCGCGGCCAGCACGCTCAATGTTGTGACACGAGTTACGTTGTTCGTCGAGCAATATGTCAGTAGCTTATTTTCTAGTTTTGTTTTCTAGTTTTTTTAGTTTTTTTTAGTTTCTAGTTTTTTTCTAGTTTTTCTAGCTAGTTTTCTAGTTTTGTTTTCTAGTTTTTTCTAGTCTTGATGGAACCAGCTCCTGGGGGTGTCGCGAAGGTTTTCCCGACGGGTGATTATCTGACATGCTGTAACCTCTGATGGGTGCCGCGATAGCATGCGAGATTCTTCACTGGGAAGATTATGATGCATATATTACCAGTGGAATACACTATGGGAAGTGAGAGCTTCACACAAGCATGGATGCAGGAATCAAGAAACATTTCGCATGTTTTCCTGGTTTCAGAAATATTTCTTGGTCTTCGTTGCACACTTAGGAGGATCATTAATTAGGTTCTTTGGGGATCTAGGCGAGGTGCATGTCAGGACAGAAATGGCTTTATCATACAGACGATAAACCTCTATCAATCAATTTGAAATTTCGAATTTCGCAGCATAAATGTTCTGTAAGAAGTAGGAAAATATTTCACGATCTATTTATTAATTTGTCAGAAAATTCTCACCAATCTCGGCTCGCTTTCAAAAGCTAAATATCAAACCGGAAGGGACTCGCCCTACTGACCCACTCAGCACTCAGCTTCCTCCCACTAACGTCCTTTACCTCATGTGAGAAGGTCGACCTCCGAGTTGATGGGTTACCATCAAGTGAAACATAGACTCCGTTTAAATAAATGTCAACAAACTTTAATATATCGGTTAACGTATATCTTTGAAGATCGTACCCATTTATTCCTGGCACTAAGTGCTTAACTTAAATGGGTGGTAGGGGGGAAATATGCTACCCAGGTGGGTTATATTGTTCAGACACTTAAGGATAATACACAGAAATCACATTAATGTGATATATATCGAGGAGAAAATCCACTAGAGCTGTTAGGTGGGCTCGAACCTTTGATCATGGCATTGCCAAGCCCCATACTCGTAAGTTCGAGCCCCCACCCCCCTCTAGCCCTAGTGGATTTTCTCATTAAGGATAATTATAACTGTTGAGTTAGACTAGATATATATTTAGTTCATTTTAATAGTTCATGATGGTTATTTGTGGCCAGGCTTACAATAGCAGATAACACAAGGGTTTTTTATCATAACCTATTGAAAATATTCCTCGACAAAAGACTATTACGTTACATAATTACATTTTTTTAAATTACATTTTATTTCAGTAGCAGTTTAACAATAGTTGAACATTTTCTCTTTGCTACGACTATCAAAAGCGACATACGCGTAAACTCCATTATCCTAAAAAAAAAAAATGCACTCAACCGAATCGTGCATCTTTAAAATTTGTTAATCCTCCATAGAGTGCAAGGACATTTTGAAATAAAAAATGATATCAACGTGATGTAGGACAGGCAGCCTCCTAGATTGAATCACGTCCACTGGTGGCTCGGGATGCAATGCATACTAATTTTCCCGAGCGCCTGTGGGAGACTAGCTTTGATTAGGCACTGGGAGATTTTTTTGGCCTAAAACTGGAATTTAACGATTACGGCGAATTTTGGTGTGCATGCAACCATATCTATCTGTATATATTTATATATATATATATATATATATATATATATATATATATATATATATATATATATATATATATATATATATATATATATATATAATATGCGAAGATGCTCGTTCCCGAAGCCATTATGCAACAGAAAACTCCTCACCTCAGAAGGATTCGAACCTAGACAGCCGGGATCTCCATGCACCTTAGCGTGTCCAGTACTTTCCCCACTAGGCCACAACGACTGTTAAAAAGAATTGGATGTCGTAAGATCCTTAACCAAATTCCCAACAGCACTCGGCGGCCTTCTTCACAGGTTGGGATCTAGGCCGCATTCTTGGTAGTAAGGCATTGTTTTGCGTGTTTATATTAGCTCTTTTTTACCTTAATGAGGATAGCTTCGAGAATTTGTATTCCTCTGCAATCACCCGCAGAATCCAGTATTCGTGTGTGTTACAGAAATACTTGATTCTGTGGCTGATGGCAGGAGATTACAAATTCTAGGAGCTCTCCTCATCAATCTCGTAAGTGAGCCTTAGCACTGAAGTTTGGTCGAATGCATCCTTAAGCCGCAGCAAGTCCTCAATATCAGGTACCCCGTCTAAGGGGTGAGGGAAGAGAGACGTGGGAGAGAGATGAGGGGAGGCTGGAAGGGTAAGGGGTACGTGGGACGAACTAGGGAGGGGGGGCAGATATCGAGTTATTAGTAATATTGTAGGATAGAGAAGTGGAAGTTGCGGTGGAGGGGCAAGGAAGGAGAGAGAGAGATGCGAGGGAGGAGGAAGAAGCTGGAGAGGGAGTGGGGAAGAGTGAGAAGGGAGATAAGAAACCAATACATTTCCTGCGAGAAGGGGGGATAGAGGGGAAATGGGGGAGAGGGGAAGAAGGAGGAGGACCAAATGGATGCCAGAGAGGAGGGTAAAGGATGTGTTGAGAAGGAGGGAAGGAAGGGGGGGGGGATTGAGAGATGAAGTGAAGGGAAACAAGGGAATGGGAACGAGGAAATAAAGTGGGGCAGATGGTAGATGGATGGTTGAAGGAGAGACGGACTCTCCCGGGCACCGTCAGAAAGGTAGGAGAAAAGAGAGAATAAAGGTAATGGGGAAGATGGGGGAGAAAACGGGTAGAATGGAGATGAAGAGGTCTCTTCACACACACACACACACACACACACACACACACACACACACACACACACACACACACACACACACACACACACACACACACTCACACTCACAATGTCGAAACATGTAGATATGATAGAGCCCAGTACGCTGAGGAATCTGAACACCAGTTGATTGACAGTTGAGAGGCGGGACCAAAGGGCCAGAGTTCAACCCTCAGCAACCACAACTAGATGACTACACACACACACGTCAGCTGGGAGTCACGGGACCTCAGCCCCACCCACAACAACACCATTACAAAGATGTCATCAGAATTTACTGCTTCCCTTAATTGCTTTAGGTTTTTGGCGGTGGCGAATGGCGACTTGGGGACAACACAGCTATAAATTCCTGGCCCGTTTTTCCTACCCTTTTATGTTTCTTCAACATTTTGTTCCATATATATATATATATATATATATATATATATATATATATATATATATATATATATATATATATATATATATATATATATATATATATATGTATATATACACTGCAAAATCCCAAATAAGATACACGAAATCTCAGAAAATCTATATATATATTTGAAATATTTCGAAAAAAGACCTAACTACATAATTGCAGAAGTCGGAAATTAGTGAGTCGAGGACATTGAGTTGCTCAACGTGGGCTTCATTTTTAGCAATGAGGCTGGAAGCCAAGCTAAATATTGTACAGAATTTTGAGGAAATTCTTAAAAAAATCATAAAAAAAATTTAAATGTTAAAATCCTCTCAGTGTTAAATATTTTCTTTTTATTAAGCTAGTTGGGCTACACGGCTGTATCCGGGTCTCTCTCTCTCTCTCTCTCTCTCTCTCTCTCTCTCTCTCTCTCTCTCTCTCTCTCTCTCTCTCTCTCTCTCTCTCTCTCTCTCTCTCTCTCTCTCTTCTCTCTCTCTTTTTTTCTCTCTCTCTTTCTCTTTCTCCCATACGTTATCACGGGAAGAGATGAACTATCCTTTCTCCAACAATAGTTAATCTGAGAACTAACTTCCAGTTACCTGAGCCACAGGTAAGTTACCTCAGGTAACTTACATTACATCTTGGAATGTATTCACATCGTCAAAATGAAACCCCGAGTTGAACACCTAACTCTGAGTTCACATCTCTATTATTCACTTAGTAATATTCATCTTCTGCAATTGTGTTGATAAGTCTTTTTTTATGATTTAATTTAAATTGTATTCATATTTGGTTTTTGTTTATCCTCTATCCTCTTTTGAATGGAATTTTGTTGCCTTAGTAACTTTAGACTTTTAAAGTGTTCTTGTTATTTTGACATTTTATTGTTGATTAATATACAAATTTTCTAAGTTGCTCAATTTGTATACGTACCGAAAACAATATGTTATGATAACCATCTTTGTAACCCATATGTAACCCCTTTTTTGTAACAAAGTTCAAATAAAGCAAATATATATGTGTACATACAAAAGAATGGGGGTGGTAGGAGAAGATAATATTAGTGTTCAGTGAGAAACCACAAGGTCTCCTCTGAATACTTTTTATTTTCTTCTCCGAGGCTATGGGTCCCCACATTGGCACCAGAGGTGGTACCCTCACAAACTTTTATATATATATATATATATATATATATATATATATATATATATATATATATATATATATATATATATATATATATATAAAATTCTCTTTTACACATTGTTTTGAGAAACAAAATTAAGATGTATGTCGTTTGTTTAATATTACTGCTTCTTAACTATATCTTAAGAGAAAATGTTTCTCTGTCGTTCCGTCTGTTTGTCTGAAGTATAAGGCCACATTCTTACGGCTACCATTACCCAAATTTATAAGGAAAATGGTCTGGGGTATGGAACGGACATAGGCTGATGTAGGTAGGCGTAAGTTAAATGATTTAAGAGGTATTAGTAATTATTGACCCCTTCCCCCTCGCCCGAAACTCCAATTCTCAAGGATTCAAATCTTGTTAAGTGTAAAATATTGGCTGAGAAGCACTAAGACTTCTTCATCACAAGAAATTATTTCCTTAACATAGAGTAGTTTCATCGTTCTGTCATATTATATTGGTGGGAGTGAGGGGAAAGGGTGGGCACCCGGGACAGCACTGGATAACCCCTATATATATATATATATATATATATATATATATATATATATATATATATATATATATATATATATAATGTGTGTAATATTGGTATATCTAAAATGAAGCTGATACCTTGATAACTAAGCTAACTGATAACAAGACCATCAAATAATTGAAATGGTAATATAAATAGCAATATGATTAGCTTACCAAATCATCCGAAATCCTTAGACAACCATCTCTTCACCACCCACACACGCCCACCCAACTCCACAAACTACCACACCCTCCTCTAGACACTACCCGTCGACAAGCTATTACACCTACCACCACAAACTAACACTCTCCACCACAAACCACCTCTCCCCCATGCACCACAACTAACCCGACTAACCTTCCTCCCGTGGCGTGATTACAGCGTCAAGACGGACATGAGCAGTTCGGTGATCGTGTCCACGCTCTTCATCGCTAACGCCACACCGAAGGACTCTGGCAATTACACCTGCTCCCTGGGCGACGTGGCCACAGGCAGCGTCCTGGTCCACATCCTCAATGGTGAGCTTCTGCTTCTATGTCTTTTCCAGGAGCTAAACTTTCTCTCCCTTTCCCCAATTCCCAGGAACTTTTGAACATAAGAATTAGGAAACGTACAGTCTATTGATCTGCATGAGGCATCTCGTATTTATATCCACCCAAACTCATTCATATATATTGATTGACCAAACCACACACTAGAAAGTGAAGGGTGGACAACGTTTCAGTCCGTCCTGGACCACTCTCAAGTCGATTGAGAATGGTCCAGGACGGACCGAAACGTCGTCGTCGTCCCTTTACTTTCTAGCGTGTGGTCTGGTCAACATATTTCAGTCACGTAATTGTGACTCATCATCTGCTCACTCATATATATATTTTACTTTCTCAGACTCCCTCTGTATCTCTCTTCCTTCTACTTTTTTTGCTACGTCTCTCTACTTTCCACATATCCTTTCTACGCGTCCCACTTAACCTATCGAAGCGTAGACCTGTTAATCTGAGTGTCAACATCCCCAAGTAAATAATTTATATAAAACTCCTTCATTTTAGGGCTGTTTATATAGTGTTTGGCCAGCCCAAGAGATGTGATTATAAATGAAGTTAGAATGAGTCCAGAGGGAGGTCAGAGTGAGGTTAGAGAGGTAGGTCAGAATGAGGGCAGAGTTAGATATGAGTGACATTAGTGTGAGATTAGAAAGAGGTCAAAAGTCAAGCAAGAGAGAGAACTACTAACATATAAATTGTCCATAAATCCCTCGTTATATTAACTTTCACAAAAGCTTGGCAAAGAGTTATTGAATTGTTAGAGTTTTCTTGATTATATTTATTGACGTTGGTGAATAGATCTATTAGGAATGACACTAAATGTTTTGTTATTTGAGATAATATTGGACTGTATTGAACCAGACAAAATGAATTGAGGCAAAATATACTAGGAACATTTATTGAGTATAATATGTAAAAGGAACATATATTAAGGGAAATATATAAGTGTTATATAGAAGGAAATATAAAGTAAAACATATTGAAGGTATAAAATAGAAGGTAATTATAGAAATTGTAGCAATCGCATCTTTATACATTACAAATTTAAATTTATATATTTCAAATTTCTTATATGTTCAATCTATGCATCTAAAAATTCATGTTGCAACTAGTGGATTCTTCTTTTCATTTTCTTTTACATTCATTGTTTCATTCTCATCCAGGAACTGTTTCCTCCATTGTCTAATTGAAGTCTCATATTGTCCAAAATACTTACGTCAATCTTGTGGATATTTATATTAATATTTCTAGAAACATTATTAGTAACGTGTTCATTTTTCTCGTTCACTTTCAGTAGGAATCGTTCAGCAAATGTAATATAATTTCGGTTGGCACCATGAAATTGTGTCTCTGAATCTCTCTCTCTCTCTCTCTCTCTCTCTCTCTCTCTCTCTCTCTCTCTCTCTCTCTCTCTCTCTCTCTCTCTCTCTCTCTCTCTCCTTCTCTCTCTCTCTCTCTCTCTCTCTCTCTCTCTCTCTCTCTCTCTCTCTCTCTCTCTCCTTCTCTCTCTCTCTCTCTCTCTCTCTCTCTCTCTCTCTCTCTCTCTCTCTCTCTCTCTCTCTCTCTCTCTCTCTCTCTCTCTCTCGCTTCGGTTTTATCAACAACTTTATTCCTCCATTTAATAGTCCTCACAGCCCCTCAACAGTCATCAAATATTCACTATGCAGAATGCTATCAATTATTCAAAAACCTTCTGTTTTCACCCTAATATTTTTGGTTTTAATTTTTTCTCTATACTCGTTCATTGTAATTTAATTTTTCATGGGTCCAACCATTTTTCTGGATTTCCCCAGAACTCGTTATTATCGAACAATTTTTCACTTCCTCGTTATTTTTTCGTTATAACTTTTATATTCTCGTTTCCTGATATGTGAAAATATTTTTTTCGACTTGGATTTTAGCTGTCAGTGCCGATATTTCAATGCTTCATTAACGTTAAACTTCGTCAGCTAATTTCTCCAACCTCTAACTCTGTTAAGTGTCTGCCGGGAAGACACATAACCATATTAGTGGCAAGACCATCACTTGCCACTAATCTCTGGTTAAGTGCCGTGTCAGCTGCTCCCACTGGAACCCATGCTTCCTGTGTCCGCAGCCGCAGGTATCACCACCTTGCAACAGCTTTTACTAATCCATCGGTGCCTCCTCTCCCTAGGGGAACACCCTGCAGCGATGCAACATGGGTCGGGTACGAAGGACCTGTGCTCCTTAACCATGGTGTTGTTCCTGGCAGCCCTCACCACATTGCTCAACTCCCTCAGCGCCTTCCACGTGAGATGATCTCCTGGACGTGGCGCAAGAGGCAGGCCAAGACCACGAGGGGTCAGGTCAAGCAACTGGCAGCCAGAATGAGGTCAATCCAAGTGTTTGAAAAGATCAAACGAGAAGGTTATCAATTTCGATCAATAGGCCATCGAAGGACATTATGAGGTATATTTAAAGAGGTCAACGTGAGTGGTTAATGGAAAACACTAACGAACACTATTTAGAGTGGAGAATTTGAAATGTTCGTTGAATATATCTGTTTCTATGTATGTCTGTTTGTCTTCTCTGGTTCTCCTATTTTCAACTCGCAGTGGTTACCTCCCTTTTATCAGTCACCAACCCACAAGTGTACGAGGCCAGAATTACTAGACCGAACTAGAAAAAGAGATTATTGATGCTGGCGACCTATTTTATTAAAAGATCATATGAATTAACGGCTTATGAGAAGAATTTGTTTATGAAATTGTATATTTAGGTGAAAACCGCGCTAACAGTTACACGGTAAGAATAAGAGATGATTTAAAACGAGATGGTATCAGCTGTAAACTTAAGAAAAAGCCAGTTTCAGAATCATGTGAAAAAGAGACTTAGAGGTGAGAAATTTGCTACAGAAGTGATGAAACAGTATTGTCGTGGGCTTGGGTGTGGGTGTTGCTCGTCGCATAAACTCACATGTCGTTATTAATGACAGAAACTCTTTCGTTAAGATGGAAAAGCGAAACAAATTCTTGTATGCGACGTCAGTTCTTGGCAGCATAAGATAGGAATTGTAAAGGCTACGCTAACGCAATGTGAAACGACTCCTTGGAGGAACTGCCCCCCCCCCCCCCCCAAGGGAAACCACCCTTAGAGAAAACGACTCTTTTTAGAAAATGACTCTTGGGGAAAACGACTTTTGAAGAAGAAACTTAAAAATATTGTTCTTCCAAGAACTATTCTTGGAAGAAACGACCCGTGGAGGAACTGCCCCCCCAAGGGAAACCACCCTTAGAGGAAACGACCAGGAAAGAAACGTGCCCCTGGGGAATTGACCCCCTGGGGAAAACCACTTATGAAGGAGACTACCCATGGGGGATCGACCCTTGGGGGGGAAACGTACCTTGCGAAAAAATAACAATGAACAATTTACCAAGTGGAAAAGGAGATATTGGAAAACTAGGCAAAAACACAACGAGTCTGGCAGGAAAGGAAAGGGGAAACGCGAGCTCTTCCAGATTATTAATATTTAAGCGTTAATCAGCCCTAACTACGTGAGCATAGATTTAGAGTTAAAAAGAAGATATATTAAAGGACTTTACCTCCCTTCATCGAGGGAAGTTGAGAGGTCCGCACTTACAAACTTCGATGTTGATTAGTGATGTTGTGATGATGAAGATGAGTTGTGATGAAATTAGATGAGTGAAGCACCGGCAGAGTTATACATGCAGAGTCCATCATCCTTAAAGTTTGGGATAAATCAGTGTAAATTTAAATAATGTAAAGTCCCTACATAAAGTTATTTCTCGACAGTGATTAAACTAGTGCTCAAAAAAACATCTGCAGGAATGAATAATTGCACGAAAATCGGTACAAAACGTTTGAAAAGTTATAATGTGTGTGTGGTGTGAAGTGCTGATACCCAGCAGTGTTCTTAAGAAACAGTAGCTTTATTTAACGAGCCAATCAGGTTTACGGTAGAGTTTTGTTGAAGGTTGGGACACAGCTGTCTATGGAACTATACCCTTGAGGGTGGACTAGTATGTACTGCCTCCAGAGACCACTAAAGTTAAAGAAAACCTATCTCAAGTGAATGAAAACATGTTACAATTAATAGAAAAAATAAATATTAATACTCAGAAAACAAAAAGAAAATTGAGACTATAAATGATGCATCGAGCTACATGGAAAAGTTATATTCGTTTACATGTTAACAAAAATATGATTGGAGATATAAACAGAATTTACAATGTAAATAGCCAGAATATAACTAGACTTGATTTTGTCAGTTACAGAGACCAAGTTAAAAGTTAATGTGAAAGCTCAAAGCTGTATAACCTCTAGTGTAATATTCATTTGAATGTCAATAATGTCATTTCATCGTGATGCAAATGGAGAAAAAATTGTTACCCCTTGATTATTAAAGAAAATGAGTTATACCTCTATTTCATATATATATATATATATATATATATATATATATATATATATATATATATATATATATATATATATATATATATATATATATTTTGTATATATATATATAATTTGTATAATTATATATAAACATATACGCTAATCAAAAATATTTATATATTTTCTTCTGGTAAGTGTGAATAGAAAAACATGTAAATCGACATTTGTAGTGAATTTACATTGTTGTTTATGTACGTTGTGATATGTCATATTTCACTGTTCTGGTGGTGGTGTGTGTGTGTGTGTGTGTGTGTGGTGTGTGTGTGTGTGTGTGTGTGTGTGTGTGTGTGTGTGTGTGTGTGTGTGTGTGTTTAGGATCATGAGAACGAGAGTCAGTTTGTTCCAGTACATAATATTATTTTCTGAAACAAAAAGAAGCGCAAATCATCTCCTTCTGGACCAGCTGTAAAAGAATTCATCAGTGGACGTTATTTTTTTCACTCGTCTTTATAACTAATAAAAAATAAAGCTCGTGTTATGTTATAATCATTGTAACGGAATATTAATGGAGATAATTCATAGTCTCTAAATCTGTGTAAAAATCAAAGATCCAAGATTTAAAGAAGCAAATTAAATGCTGTATCTTGTATTTTATTATTTTGAATCAATTTTTTATTTTTACTGAATGTATCAGTATTATTGTTGGTAATATTTGTTTTACTAGTATTTTTATCATGGTGTATTCTTTTGTTTTTAATGTTGGGCTGAAGGCCTATCAGCATCTGGAGTGTTATTGAGGCCTCCACAATTCCTTGTTTACTAACCAGTAACAATATTAGAAGTACCAGTACAATACTATTACTACTAAACAGTAACAATACTAGAAGTACCAGTACAATACTGGTCCTTCTAACCAGTAACAATAACAATCTACTTCAAACATGAACATAATTCAGGTCTAAATTAATTTCTTCAGTGCATATACATTCCGAGGAGGAATACACTTTTCAGTGCATATACATTCTGAGGAGGAATGTATATGCACTCTTCAGTGCATATACATTCTAAATACACTTTTCAGGGTATGTACCCACATTGAAAAGATACAAAAAGCTTCTACTTATTTTTACTTAAATTTTGTGGAAGATTATACAAAGCCTTGTCATAAATTTTGTTAATACGAACCTTAAGGAGACAAAATTTGAAAAGTTACTATTAAAATAGGAAGTTCTATATGACAAGTTTTTTGGAAAATTTTCCATGCCAAAAATGTATGTTATAACGCTGTGTATATGTATATATGTATATAAGAATGTCTGAGTCTTTTTGTTACAATCAGTATTTCCAAAGCAAAAATACTGATAACAGGACAAAAAAAAATTATATTTATAAGTTAACCAGCGAGAACCAATTTTACTCAAATCGGAAAATGAAATGCTGTTCTTACGGAAGCTCAAATATATAGCTTTAGGTTTTCACTTGTTTAAGTCCGAGAGAAATAAAGCTAGACATTGTAATTCTTCTATATCGGGAATCTGTATAGCTTGAGTTTTAAACTACCCATTTGCATTCCTGGTTACAGTTTCGAGTTTAGAATTCTGGACGAGAGACCAAGCGAGCGCCTTTGGTCTCAGGACAGTCATTAGAAACAAGAAATTCCCACAACTATTTCCTTGTAGTAAATATTTAGACATTTTCTGTTGATTGTGTAAGATATATTTCACCCACTTCCTTCCTGACCCTTTTTGAACACTATGGCAGACCTCTGAGCGTTACGTTGTGAAATATATAGAAACCTATATACTGCGCATGACATGACAAACGCATGACATGACAGACTGACTTTTCAACTAAATATTATTGCCTGTTGTAGTGTTTCGTAATACATATGGTGACTGGGTGCTTGCATACATATGCGTATGGTATCTGGGTGCTAGCATACATGCATATGATGTCCTCGATGCTCTCGGTGAACATATTGAACTGAAGTCTGTAGAGAGAACATATTTCACAGGAGTATATGAAGTGAACATAACTGAAAAAGAAGTCTATGAAGTGAACATAATGCAAAGGAAATTATAATGTGAACGGATGGTACAGAAATCTATTGATTTTGTAGTACTGGAATACAAAGAAATATATTGTCTTCTTCATATGGGCAAATATTCATTCCATATGCACAATATATGGGTACAATCTGTTTTTTAATTGTATCCTGTCTCTCAGTGACAGGATATCACTGTCACGGAAACAGATCTGTTTAAGTTAAAACTTTCATCATCTTAGTTAAGAATAATTATTTAACGAAGTTTATCAAATTAATTCCCGTTGTGTATATATATATATATATATATTCAGCATATCACTGTAACTCTGTGAACCCTCAGAGGATTAGAAAACATTTCGCCAGGGGTCTCTACACCGAAATCACAATCCAAGCTCTGCTCATATTACTCTGTGCTTCTAATACTAGAATAACCTGATTGTTTCGTGTTGAAACAGCACCAAAAAAGGCAGCAGCTGATTCTTTACAGCTCTTCATATGATTCGTTACAGTTTCCAGCACTAATAATGAAAGTCGTTGATTGGTTCTAAATTTCTAATATCGTTAAATAAAACCAACTGACTGGCACTGTCGCACGTTTTTATGTTGTCGAGAAATGGAACATATAATTGGCCTTGTTTCTCGCGAAGTGTGAACGGGGCCTGACGTAATGTTCAGAGGAAAGAGCCCAATTGACGGTTTCTAGGAAAGTAACGACGTTGGTACGTGGTTAACAAGTGTATAAGATTTTAGTCTTTTCCTTTAACTCAGCAAATTGTTATCTAACCCCTAAATATTGCGTTTCAGGATAAAACTGTAGTTTTAGATGATAGAAATAAGTCCACCCGTCCGAATTATAGAGAATTATATGGTGCCCCCATACGACTATAATATTCCCATCATGATGACAAATCCTAAATTTTCAGATCAAAATATCCTCCACTGTGTATAATTACATTAAACAAAAATACTGATCCTTAACTGTGCGTTCACATTGATGTTTGGAAATGATTGTATTGCCCCAAGCACACACCTTGAGCTGTGTGGACGTGATGGTCTCTTCCAAGATGACCAATCCGTACAGAACGGGCAGAATGAGCCAAAAACTGACATTCCAAATTGTGTATATCATTATAGATTACTCTAATAGAGTGCGACGTCTCATTATCTGTAGAGGAATATATATATATATATATTATATATATATATATATATATATATATATATATATATATATATATATATATGTCGTACCTAGAAGCCAGAAACGCACTTCTCAGCCTACTATGCAAGGCCCATTTTGCCTAATAAGACAAGTTTTCATGAATTAATTGTTTTTCGACTACCTAACCTACCTAACCTAACCTAACCTAACTTTTTCGGCTACCTAACCTAACCTAACCTATAAAGATGGGTTAGGTTAGGTTAGGTAGGGTTGCTTAGCTTCGGTCATATATCTACGTTAATTTTAACTCCAATAAAAAAAAATTTACCTCATACATAATGAAATGGGTAGTTTTATCATTTCATAAGGAAAAAAATAGAGAAAATGTATTAATTCAGGAAAACGTGGCCTATTAGGCAAATCGCGCCTTGCATAGTAGGCCGAGAAATGCATTCTGGCTACTAGGTACGACATATATATATATATATATATATATATATATATATATATATATATATATATATATAATTACATTTCATTCACTTGGACTATAAGAGTTTCGAACCCCAGACCCCAGAAGCTCTACCTACTATGCCTCCAGCACCCACACAAGGGATGCTTCACTAACGTAGCGTGGGTGCTTGTGGCTCAGGAGTTCAGGCTTTGCTTTTGTGGTCTGGGATACGAGGATATATATATATATATATATATATATATATATATATATATATATATATATATATATATATATATATATATATATATATATATATATTTACATAGCTGGACTTGTGTAAGACTGTAAGAGGGAGTGACTGTCCCTGAATGTGTTTTAATTATTTTCCCCATGTGGGTCCAGATCAACCCAGGACTTTGTACATATGAACTACATATGGAGAGCGTGACGTAACGAGGTGGTGGTAGTTTGTAGGATGCTGATGTAATTTTTGTATATGTAAATATGTTTTAGGGTTTGTATGCGGCCAATAAACACTTGAATGATCCGTTAAAAAAAAGTTCTTTTGTTAACCTTCATTAACAAAAATTTTAATCTTTAGACATTAACCTAAAATCCTCCACACTGACAAAATAAACACATCTGTCTTCGGTCACATTAGCCACCAAAGGCATTCTTCCACATTTTTGCATCCTCATCCTCACCCGCCCATCATTCACACTCCCCCATACAATCTCCACCCCTCATGCCCCCAACTCCTCCACCCCAATCACCCCCCTCCGTAACTCCGGCTCCCAGCAGGCACCTCCCTGCCTTTCAGATTGGACAAAAGGTGTGACTGGAAACTGTTTCAATCTGAAGAGCGTTTCTTGTTTCGATCTGTACAATGTTTCACTCAGAACAGTGTTTCAATATGAACATTATTTCAGATGGTAAATATTTCTAAATGAATAATATTTCAGATAGTAAGCCTTTCAATATGAATAATATTTCAAATGGTCTTTCAATATGAATAAATGTTTCGGTCAGACAAAATAGTTTGGTAGAGACGATTGAGCTCTCTCGCGCTCGATAGGAATGAAACAGTAACTATAATCGAGACTTAAACTTCTGAGCTGCCTCTGTGACCAATCAAATCAACGACACAAACATATTTACGTTTACCATTAGCTGAGACAAGAGTCTTACGTTCTGTAAATATATATTTAAAAACAAAATGAAGTATAAAGTTTATACTCGCTGATGCCGATAATATCAATACGGTTTTCATTTCGTTCATCAGGACACTGAAGAATATGAGAAATTAAGGATTATTGCATGAAACAGTTTCTGGTCAAAAAGGTCTCTCTTTTTTTTTTGCCCCCCTTCCCTACCTCTCACCCT